AGGCTCAGCCCACCAGAAACAGCAGCAACCAAAAAACAGCTTCCCCCAATCACTCACAGCCTCCATGCGACGAAATCAGCCTCTAGTAGACCTTTCCTGCCTCTTTTGCAAGCCACGTGGCTGCCGGTAGCACCACAGTGTGCCATGCAATCCTCGCTGTCCCGCGCTGCTCCGGGCCTCCTGGCATTGATCTGGGCCTGCAGGGCCTTGCCGCTGCCGCCGCTGCAGAAACAATGGCCACCCAGGAAGGCAGGGATGAAAACGAGGCTTTGTAGTAGCCTCTGCCCCAGCCCATGCAGCCCGCATGAATTGAGACCCCAAAATGGCTGTCGTAATGGTGTCCTTCCTCAAGAAGCAACTTTTAAATCCTTTACTGACAGCCGGGAGTGAGCCATATCAAGGGGAAGCTTCCAGGTATCAGTTGGAGGCAAGGGGAAGAAGGCAGGGGGAAGGAATTTGCAGGATGGCACTGGATTGTTTTTTGAAAAAACAGGAAAAGCAACCTTTCTTTCTTTGGCCAGCCAGAGTTGAAAGTGGGAACCAGAAGCAAGGAGGCACAGAGGCGTGGCTTCAAATTAACTCTGTCTCGAGGCCAATTGGACACCACCATACCCAATCCTGGCTAATCCTGAAAAATTCCTCGGGAAAATACCAAGGTTATATGTCCATGTTTTCATTGCTATTGTAACTTCAGATAGTTGCTGAATGAATGGATATTAGCTGAGAACTAATTATGTGGAACTCTGAATTTGAGTTTTATTTCATTTGCTCTCACTCTTATTACAGTGAGGAGGGGTCACAACTTCTGATTATACCTCAGTTTCTTGCAGAAGACGCCTCATGGTATGTTTCCTCTCTTGCTGCTTCCGTCGACTGATGCAAATAATAGTGAGAAGCAACAGAAGCAGGGCAAGGGCAGCACCCACCACACCTGCAATGATTGAACTAGCATGGCTGAAAAGAGGATGGAAAGAGAGAGAGAGATAAATTGTAATCTAAAACAGGAAATGCCCAGCTGTGATCAGTATTTCCCTGGTTGGGACCATCTGTAGATTGGGTTTACATGCCCAAAGGATTAGGAGCAAATCAAGTAAACAGAGAAACTTTCCCTAATTGTCATTGACAATAGCTGGGAAATCAAAGTCACAATACCTTCCTCTTACAGTGATCTTGTTATTTGTATGTGTGCAATAGTGCTAACTTAATTAAAAAGAGCCGAGGTGGCGCAGTGGTTAAATGCAGCACTGCAGGCTACT